GGGGATACCATTAATATATATATTAATATATTAAATATATGACCTTCAAAGACCTAAGTCAGACTACATTGCTCTCTAGCTTAAAACCCTGTGGTGGAGTGCTACTGCTCAGAGTAAAATCTAGACTCCTGCCCTTGTCCCTCAAGGCGCTCCATCCCCTCCCTCTCTGGGCCTCAGGGCCTTTGTATTGCTCTTCTCTAGCATAACTGCCTGCTGTGGCCCTCCAGCCTCAGCAGTCAGTCATTTCCTGGAAAAAGGTCTACTTTGGCCACTCTTCCTCCAAGACTCACTGCATTTTGCCTTTTGGGATTATTTTTATTTGTTTTATGTAAAATTTAAAAAAACAATTATGGGGCTGGAACAATGGCTCAGCAGTAAAGAGTACTGGCTGCATCTAGAGGACCTGGGTTTGCCTGCCAGCACCCACATGACAGCTCACAACTGTAACTGCAGTCTCAGGAGATCTAACACCCCCTTCTTGTCTCTTGGCACCACACATATATTTGGTGCACAGACATACATGCAGGCAAAATACTCACACACATACAAATTTTTAAGAAAAAGTTTATGTGCATGGATGGTTAGCCTGCATATATATCTGTGCACCACATGGTGCCTGCAGAGACCAGAAGAAAAAGCACCAAACTGTCCAGAACTGAAGTTAGCAGGGGACTATAAGCCACCATGTGGGTACTGGGAATCAAATCCTATACTGGAAGATCAGCAAGTGATAATAACAGCTAAGCCAGCCCTATTCATTTCATGTGTATCTGTGTGTGCACCAGAGTACATGGATGCACACAACATGTGTTCAGGAGCCCTTGAAGACCAGAACAGCATCAGATTCAATGGAACTGGACTTTCAGGCAGTTATGAGCCACTATGTGGGGTGCTGGGAGCTGAAGCCAAGTCTTCTGCAAAACTCAGGAAGTGACCGACCACTGGACCATCTCTCCTCCTGATCCCTCTGCCCTGATACTGTGCTGTTTGAGACAGGGTATTACTACATAGCCCTGAATGACCTGGAATCACTGAGCCTCCAACTTTTCAAGTGCTGGTATTAAAGGCATGCACTACCAAACTTGGCCTCTTTGTATATTTTTTGAGGAAATCTTGTTATAAAGCCTAGGTTGGCCTGGAACCCACTACACAGCCGAAGCTGGCATTGTGCTCATGAACTTCCTGTTGGGACTACATGCTAGTTAGTGCCACTGCAAGTGGCATGCCATCTTGTCATAGCTCCTCTTTGAATTCTGTGAGGCCTGGAATCCTATGTCTTGATCCCGCCCAGGATCCTCAGCACCAGCACAGCTCCTGAATGAGGGAGACACTGAGTAACTAGAGTGAGCAGCTACAAAGGGCTGTCCATGTGTACAAACAAGCCACCCTTGAGAGACCAGGTCATCACAGCCCCTGAAAGTCCCACCTGGGGGGATACATGACCAGCTACATACCCGAAACTTCCCCTCAGAGAACAAAGCCAGGTGCAGCTGTGGCTTCTCCATGGTTGTTTTGGTTTGCAAGAAGGAAGTGAGAAACACCAGGACATGCTGGTGACAACCCAGGAACCTCTCTTACACCATGGGGCATTGGCTGGCTTCAGCCTTACTATTTCAAGGTGGGCCCTGCTATTATCCTTATTACACATATGCATAAACTGAAGGCCCAAAGACTAAGTAAGAACCCGTGGGGTGACCCTAGGGGAATGGAAGCACAGCACAAAAAAAACAGGCCTGTTGCAGTTCATCTGTTTATTCTGTGACATCTCAATTTTTTTAATTTTTAGTTTGATGTGTATTAGTGGTTTTTGCTATTGTGTGTGGTGAGGGGTGTGTGTGTGTGTGTAAGAGAGTGAGACAGAGAGACAGACAGAGACTCATGTAGGTAAGGCTGGCTGTCTCCTTGAACAGAGATCCACCTGCCTCAACTTCCTGAATACTGGGATTAAAAGGCATGAATCACATAAAATTTTTAAAACTTATATGCATGAGTGGTTTTTTTGTTTTGGATTTTTTTTTTGTTTTTGTTTTTCAAGAGACAGGGTTTCTCTGTGTAGCTTTGGAGCCTATCCTGGCACTCGCTCTGGAGACCAGGCTGGCCTCGACCTCACAGAGATCAGCCTGCCTCTGCCTCCCAAATGCTGGGATTAAAGGCATGTGCCACCAACTCCAGGCTTGTATGAATGTTTTGCCTGCAGGTAAGTATGTGCACTGTATCTGTGCCTTGTTCCCACAGAGGTCAGAAAAGGGTGTTGGATCCCCCTGGAACTTGAGTTAAGATGATATATGTCCAACATATGTTGGACACTTAACTATTTTCTTCTGAAAATGTTCTTAATTGCTGGCCATCACTCTCCAGCCCTCTGAATTGTTTTTAGGTTTGTCTTATTTTTTTAAAAGATTTTATTTATTATGTATACAACATTCTGCTTCCATGTATATCTGCACACCAGAAGAGGGCACCAGATCTCATTACAGATGGTTGTGAGCCACCATGTGGTTGCTGGGAATTGAACTCAGGATCTCTGGAAGAGCAGTCAGTGCTCTTAACCTCTGAGCCATCTCTCCAGCCCCGGTTTGTCTTTATTTCATTTATGTGTATGTCTGTATAAGTGATGCCACATATACACTGATGACTGTGGAAGCCAGAAAAAAGCACAGGACCCCTGGAGCTAAAGTCATAGGCAGCTATAAGCTGCCTGATATGGGTCAGGTCCTGGGAGCAAAATTCTGCATGAGCCGGCAGTGCTTTTAACTGCTGATCTATCTCTAGCCCCAAGGTCTAAACTTTTGTTTTATTTATTTTAACTATTTATTTATACACTCATTCATTCACATGTATTCTTGGCCGTCTAGGAGCTCACTCTGTAGACCAGGTTGGCCTCAAACTCACTGAGATCCACCTGCCTCTGCCTCCTGAGTGCTGGGATTAAAGACCCATGCAACACCAAACCCAAATAGAGCTGGAATTTTTTTTAAAGAGTATTTTCAGGCTAGGTGTGGTGGTACAGGCTTATAACCCCAGAACTTGGGAGGCTGAAGCAATAGTATTATCTTAAATTTATGGCCATTCTGGCCTACACAGCAAAATCTTTTCTCAAAAAGTTATTTTTCAGCCAGGCAGTGGCAGTGCACACCTTTAATCCAAGCACTCAGAAGGCAGAGGCAGGCGGATCTCTGTAAGTTGGAAGCCAACCTGGTCTACAGAGTGAGCTCCAGAACAGCCAAGGCTACACAGGGGGAAAAAACCTGTCTCTAAAAACCAAGAAAAGTTATTTTTCCTTCTGGTTAACTTTTAGGGCATAAACTCAGAAAACAGTCACCCCTCTATGCCTACCCCACCTCAGTCTCCCCACCTGCAAAATAAGTCCAGTAACCACAACTCAGCCACAGTAAAGAATAAACCAACAGTTTAGGTAATCTCTGATGCGACACAGTGATGGTGGCACATTTACAGAAGCAGAGTCTGGAACCCAGTTCTGGGCTACCACCACAACAGTCACACTCCCTCTGCAACTTATGGGGGCCCGAGGGCCAATGTTGACTTTAGCCTGAACAGTGCTTTTAGAAATACATTTGGGGCTTTGCAAAGTGGCAAGATTATAACCAGTGAGGTTTATCCAAGGTGCAATTATTGCTAATTGAAAACTTTGCTAACTGGGTGCATGCCTTTAATCCCAGCACTCAAACTTGGAATCTCTAAGATCCAGGCCAGCCTGGTCTATAGAGCAAGTTCCAGGACAACCAGGGCTACACAGAGAAACCCTGTCTTTAAAAACTAAAAAGGAAAAAAAAAAAAAAAAAAAAAAAAAAAAAAAAAAAAAAAGACTTTTCCCAATACCCTACCATGACAAATTGAAGTATAGCTGGCATTGGTAATTTTAAAAGAAAAAGAAGAAAAAAGAAATACATTTGGATATGTGGCTAAAACTTTGAAACTAGCAGATCTTGTCTGAGGACTTCCATATTACAGCTTCTGTTGAAAACTTCAGCATAACTGAGGTGTGCTCCCTGTAAGACACAGGTGGGCTGCAGAGGGAAAGTGCTCCAGTTGATGCTTCCCTCCAGCCCACGAGGCCTGAGTTGGCAGACTTAGCACAGGCCCTCCTAAAATTCCTCCAAGGAGCACATACAGACCCAACCAAAACACCAAAAGGTAAAAATCAAAATAGCCAACACCTGGTGGTGGAAGTGCCACACAGGGCACTAGCTAGTCTTTCCCATCTCATGCAGACAGCGCTCTATAAACATTAACCTCCCATATAGCTAAGGGCTGCAGCGCTGAGTGCACAGGATAGGTTCTATCCCGCACCATATGAAAGGATGCTAAGAAACAGAAACTGACTTCTTCGCTTTGTCCTCTTGGTTGTGTGTCCTTTTAGCTGTTACCTTTGAATGGCTGAGCCACCTCTCCAGCCCCAAATTTCCCATTTTACAAAAAAGGCAGGCATACACTTGTCCATAGCCTCACCCCTGTCCAGTTGAAGCAGCAAGCTTCCAATCCCCATGCCTCAGCTCCAGAGCCTCTTCATATAACCAATAGGCAACCCTGAACTCAATAACTCTCACATGACCCATCTCACAATGGGGAAACTGAGGCATAGAAGGACAAGTCACAGGCTGAATTCACTATAGTAGAAATAGGAGCTCCCAAAATCCAGGCACTGAAGCAAGAGGAGTGTAAGTTCCAGGCCAACCTTTGAACCATAGTAAGCACCTATGTCAGAAGACCAAGGACTGACATTGTGGTTCAAGGGCCACGCACTAGCCTAGCATGCACAAGGCTTCAGACTTTATCTCCAACACTTCTTAGCTCAAATTCAAGTAGCTTGACTCTAGAGTTCTGCTCCCCATTCCTAACCCCTGGTGGGTCCAGTCCTTATTGGACTGGGTTTCCTTGGACATTCAGATGTCCTAAGGGTCAGTTCCCTCATCTGAAAATGGGGTTCCACTTTATATGAACTCAGCTGCACAGAGCAGCACATGGTATTGTCTGCCACGGAGCTCCTGCATGAGGGAAACACTGAGGGGGCCTGCTCTCAGCTGCCACTGCCATCCAGCCACTTCAGTCCCAGCAGAAACCTACCTCCAGAGGGGTGAAGTCATGGTTGACCAGGAATGCCAGAATAGCCGTGGGGACAACAAGGAACTCCACCCGGAAAGTGTCGTGGTTCCCATCATAAGTAGCTTTGAACTTGCTGTAGATCATCCACACCGTAGTAAAGGAACAAGCTATGTACACCACCTGATGAGAGGGTGACAGGCAGCTCAACTTACAGGTGGAGCTTCCATCCAGTAGGCACAGACATGGGAAATCCAGTTCCCAGCCCACCTCCCTCAAACCAGATGTCCAGACCTCAGCTCTCTTCGTGCCTAAATGTCTAGACATCAGTCTTCCATACTTAGACCAAGGAGTCTAGATAATGAGTCTCTTTCTCCTTCAGAACCAGATATCCAGGCCCCAGCCCTCCTCCCTCAGACCAGAACTCCAGGCCCAAGCCTCTTTGCTGACTCCTCTCTGACCCCTGTCCTAGAACGCAGCCACAGGGGGCTGACTGGAGCTCTACCTTCATGCAGGTGTTGTAGAGTGAGATGTAGTTGGTGAACAGGTCCAGATACCGGGCAGTAAACACCACAGCAAACAGGACCTGGCTCTTCCCTGAAATGCCTGGTTGAGTCAGAGAACAAGAAACAGGGTAGGGGGAGCTGAGATAGGCTACTTGGGCAATAAACTAAAGTGCGGCGAATGGGCCAGGTTGCCTGAAACTCTGGAACACAGCGGTCCCTGAAAGGCCTTGAAGCCTGAGCACGGGCCCTTTCCCACCATCCACAGCCAGGGGACAGCCGGCCTCAAAGATACTACAGACCGAGGCTCCGTCCCAGGCTAGGCCTCGCTGGTACCCTTGTCTCATTCAGGGTCCCCTGACAGTCTGGACCTACGCTGGGACCTAATGAAAGACCTGCCTGACTTCAGTTTCTCAGGCAATCACCTTCCTCCCGCTCTCTTCCTGGCCTTTACAGTCCACGTCACCAACTCCCAGCCACCTCCCCGCCTGCCATGGCTCCTGGGTGCCCACCCCCAA